CATCATCACATTAGACATCACTGAATCTAGTGTCTAATCAAGCATTTTATTTTTTTAAAAGATTTATTTATTTATTTTAGAGAGAGAGAGAGAGAGTGAATGAGAGAGAGAGCATGAGCAGGGAGAGGGGCAGAGGGAGAGAGGAAGCAGACTCCCCACTGAGTGGGGAGCGTGGCGCAGGGCTCCATCCCATGACCCTGAGATCATGACCTGAGCCTAAATCAAGAGCTGGTTGCTCAACCCACTGAGCCACCCAGGTGCCACTAATCAAGCATTTTAAATCTTGTTGTGAATTCTCTTTCTGAGCATTAAGTATTTCATTCTCCCCCCATTTTTCAAATTGCATTTGAAACAACCCATCTGGAATAATGTGGGTTAGATTGCCTTTGGGGACCACACCAAAATTGTGAACCAGTAATTTCTCGATGGGCAAAATTAGGCTTACACCATGGGATAATTAGCAATAATCCATGAAACTTGGAAGCAAGTTTGACCTAAGTCTCCATTCAAGCCAAACTGGCTTTCAATTATTTGAGGTGTTATTTGGGTACTTTCCTGTTTGCTCATGGGCACAAAAGGCTTTGGCTGTAGACCACAGAGCTAGGAAAACAAAGCAAGGCTTTAATTCTTGGGTGGCTAAGACAGAGATGGCAATGTGACATTCATACTCAATAGCTAACATTACTGAACACTTAATATCTCTTAGGTATTCTTCCAAGGGCTTTGATTGTATTGTCTCATTTAATTGTCACAACAATCTTGTGAAGCAGATTTTTATTCCTCCCATTTAGTAGATGAGAAAGCAGAGGCCCATAGGTAGTAAGCAAATTGTTCAAGGTCACAGAGTTAGCAAGGTGGGAGGCCAGGGAGTCAATTTTTGCCTGGTCTGCATTTCACCTATGTGAATAAAAAGTATTACTATACCATTTAAAGTACAAAGTTTTTGGGGCACCAGAGTGGCTCATTTGGTTAAATGTCCAATTCTTGGTTTCAGCTCAGGTCGTGATCTCAGGGTCCTGAGATTGAGCCCCATGTCCGGCTCCGTGCTCAGCGGGGAGTCTGCTTGAGATTGTCTCTCGCTTTTCCTCTGCCCCTCCCCCCATTCATGCATTCTCTCTCTCAAATAAACAAATAAATCCTTAAAAAAAAATGAAGTATGAAGTTTTCCCCAACTTATATTGTTGAGAGTCTGAACAAATTGGTTACTTATTTGACCCACGAAGATAAAAATTATGAAAACCTTGTTCTTTTTTTTTGTGGGTCATTGTCTTTTTTCCCTAGTTATCATGATGTTATGAGGATCTTTCAATTGAAATTTTGTTTTGAAAATTCATTGGATATTATATTACTTCAGACATGGATCTGAAGATTGTTTCCAAAAGGCATGAATATAGCTTTGTGGAAGGGCTCTGTAGAGAGATAGACAAGTAGGGAAAGATCCAGGGGCAGATGATAAGACAGCAGGTTGCAGTTCATCAGCTGAAGTAAAAACTTGCTTTGTGGGAGGGTTTTGATGTCGTGTGGTATTATACAGGCAAATTATCAGCATTTAACTGTAGCCTCCTGCCCTACTTCCTTACCATGTTAGCTGTGGTGTGGAAGGCCAGGTCATATGTGGGGAGAGTGAGATTACATTGAATTACAGGTTATAGAATTACATTTAACAGGTGATAGCCAACTTTACAAACTTGTTCTTTCTGTCCTACTGGCTGAGACATTGGCAGAGCACTCATATTCTCCTTTAGAACATCAGAGGCCAGTTTGTTTCTGTTGCCATTGCTACCCTTTTCAAAACAAAGAGAAGTTTCTGGTAATTGTAACAACTGAGTCATAAATGCCTTCCTTTAGATGAACTTCTTCAGTGTTATACACTCAGGCAGTTCATTTAGTAGATTATTTATTGATTGTTAGGAATTAGTGAAACAATATTGAAAGAGTTATCTAAGACCTCTGAATACTAAAGGGAATGCCTTTCAGCTAAAGATGGGATCATAGCAGTATCCCAGGATCATTGTGCCCGGTCAGTTTGGATTTTTTTTTTTTTAGTTTGGATCTTTAAAATGAAGGTTATTTCAAGGGCACCTTTTTCCTTTTAAAATAACAGATATGTCTTTTATGAGTTTCAAATTATAAAGAAGGCAAGGACCACTTTCTGATTTGCAACTTCAGTATATGTATGTATGTATGTATGTATCTATCTATCTTTAATGCTACTTTTGGCAGACACAGCTGGTTGTAGGAGATGCAGAAGGCTGATAAGGGCAAGATGATAAAAAGTCTGGTTAAATGACCAGCGACAGGAAGGATAGTCCTCAGTCCTCAGTAGTCCCTGGTTCTCTCAGGAATAAATAGCCCTCTGGATTTATTTAGCCTAAATTTAAACATCATTTGAATTCCTTTCACTGGCAGACTCTCGAACCTCCTGTTGAAGGTTTGTTTTTTTAGTAAAGATTTGCTTCCCAATTATTTCTCTTCAACTCTTATTGTAGGAATAAGAGAACTTTAATAGAACTTTAATAAGAGAACTGTAAATATGAGAACTTTCTAATACAACTGCTGGTGGGTTTACTTAGTGTCTTCAGTTTTTGGATCGTTTTGGAAGAATGAAAAGAAAACCCCAATACCTTACAGCCCTAGTCTTTTGGATATTTGAAGCTATCTGTAGAAAGTTATGATGTTTCTTCTGATTTATTACTTGAGCAAAGACATGTTTGATGTAAAAAAATTTGGGTTATGGAGGAGATAGAAGGATCTTGGATCCACAGTAGGTTGAGATTGACCGAGTGATCAGGCAGAGACACCCACTGGGTACATCAAACCTGGTTTACTTATCTAAAGGTTACAGGAGGAAGTTGGCCCAGAGAGATTGGCAGCGTGCTCTTTTAGGGATGGAAGTGCGAGCTCTAGGTTCTTCCTAAAGGATCTCACTGGTAGAATCGAGGCTAGTAAGTCTGAATGAGTGAAATCACATGAGAACTTTGGGAAATTCAGTGCTCTTCCCAGCTTAAAGTGCGAGATGCCCTGCACATAGTTTGGTTGAGATCGGTGTCAGGAAATGCTTCACTTGAGCCAGGTGTGACTTATTAATCTCCAGGTTTTTAATGTAAAATATGACCACGGTGTGTGGTATAGCACAGCACACTCAGGCAAGGAAATGGCCCCAGTTTCTTACCCTCCGCCTCCTCAGCCCAAAACAGCTCGTTCCAGACACTTTGGCGCGTCCTGGTAACAGAGGCTCACATTTGCAGTGAGCAAACACAGTTGACGCAGACCTGAAATGGAGGGCTGGCTTGTTCATGGTTCTATTATCCCAGGTGGCAATTTATTAAGTTAAGTAAAACTCTAATTCAATTATGGATCAACATGGGAAAATATTGACTTACCTTCTTTTCCTGTTGGAAACTTAAGGAGTATTAAATGTTAGTATTTTGAGGAAGTTCAAAAAGCTTTCTTTACCAGTATCATGCAGTGTGCTTGGAGAAGGCCAGGCTCCTTTTCAGACAAGTGCTTGGGTGAATAGCAAAAGTTTAGGCGGATGCCTTGGCAAAGTATTTGTTAAACTGGGCTTTCTTGCTCCAAAAGGGAGAAGTTCCTGCCTCCACTCTTTTAAAAGTTTCCACGACTTCAGAAAAATTACAGTTGAGTTGTTGTTCATTTTGTTCTACAAGGACATCAAGCCTTACCTTTTCTTAGACATGTTGGTCTCCTGCATTATCACCTCCATCTGGAGTGACCTTTTGTTGAAATCTTGTCCATACTCTAAAATGAGTTCAAACTCTCTCTCCACTCAGAATTTTCCCTGATTCTCTGCATTTCCAAATATGGAGCACTTACCTCTCGTGAGCATTATTTCGGTTTCCTTGAGGGCTCTGTGAATTCGGGAGGATGAGCCTGAGAGTTATTGGAGCGCAGGGATCCTGTCTTACCCTCTCATTTCATTCATCCCTCTTCCCCTCTGACTGCAAGCACGATGCTTTATCCATATGGAGTTTTCAGTGAACTCTCCATAGAGGAATTAGAATATCTTTAATTGGTAGAATACTCTATAATTTTGGGAGAAACATCACAAAAGCACTCTGTCAAATCCTTCAAAGTTCGACATTTAAGCGGCAGATGGAAAAACAGGGCGAGATGATGGGGCCCTTTAAAAGCCTTATATCACAATTCCTTAACGTTTTAGATGTCCAGTTATGTTTCTTACTCCCATTATCACCATTTCTCCCCAGCTACCTGCCAAAATACACGGGCTCTGAATCCTCTGAAGGCATTTTATTATATTATACCATTTTTTTCTGAATGTACCTAGTCATCATAGTGCTCAGCACAGACTATTATAGGTGCTTCAAGCTGTTGTTGAAAGAAATAATAAACTAATTATTTAAGGGATCTTCTTAGATAAAATGCTTTCATTTCTTGAAATACCTCTTTGGCATTTATTTCCATTAAGATCAGAGCAGTGTCTCAACTTTGAAAGGGATGGTAAAATGGCTCCATTTCTCCTCCTGGTCAATTTACATGACGATATAGAAGCTATGCCCGTAATGACCGTAGAAATGCAAAGACAGCCTGATACAAATATTAAATACAAAGTTAGTGGGATAGGCAAGACCCAATTAGGACCTATGTCATGTAGGGGTCAAGGAGGCCCATGCACCTTCCCTCCAGTGCTGTGATAGATGAAGGCAGGGGTTAGGTGTTGGTGATGGTGACCTTGGGGTGTCCCTGTGGTTCCCACTCCTGCTCAGCCATCCCTGCCCATGGTCATCCCAGGGTTCGTGGGGGCTCTGCGGGACCATGGAAGGTCCAGGAAGCCCCTTTCCTGACCCCTGACATTGAACTCTCCTCTCTCCCTTGACAATACAACACAGAAGGTGGAGTTCTCTTGCATCTATTTGCCCTGTCAGTAAGGGGGCCTTTAATCTGTTTTAGCATGAAAAATTCATTAAGAGTGTACTATTATTTCATCAGTGAAATCCTCAAATTTTAAATTAAATCCATAGGTTTGGTTTAGCAACCGCCGTGCGAGATGGAGGAAGCAAGCTGGGGCCAATCAACTCATGGCTTTCAACCATCTCATTCCGGGGGGGTTCCCTCCCCCCGCCATGCCGACCCTGCCAACATACCAGCTGTCGGAGACATCTTACCAGCCCACAGCTATTCCGCAAGGTACGGAGGGAGTCGAGGGGTTAAAATATAACTCCCCTTTGCTTTCTCTGCTGCTGGGAAATCTTGATGCTGACATTGTTGCTGCTGCTTGGGGGTTAATGACCTTCTATCAGGTCATCCCCAAGGTTTACCTGCCCCATTTCGGAAACCTAGTTTGTTTGGTGACGTAGTTGGATCTCTCTAGATGATGAGCTGTGTTATAATACTGGTTCAGTATTTTAAAACAAAATGATGAAACCAAGCCCAACACCTTTCCTAAATAAATATGCCATTTGCTTTTCCTTGGTTAAAATTTTACTTCTACCTTTGCACTGCCGTCGGCAGTTAACTGAAGTTCTATGAGAGTTACTAATTGCAGTAGTCATAGAGCAAAGGTACGCTCTGATCAAGTCACCGTTAGATGGCACAGAGAGGTGAATGGGATCAGTGGGAAGACTGAATTATTTGGGATTATGAAAGATAGCATTCCAGGCATTCCACATGAATATTTAGGTGCTTCGAAAGTGTATTTGATATGAAATGCGAGACTTGTGATTCTGACGCTGGCTAATTCTTGTGCTGATTCATAACATTCACTACCAAAAATAGGTTCGTTCTCATTGTTCATGTGATTTCTGCATTCGTGTTCTGGGTGAGTATGCCCTGAAAGTATATAAATAAGTTGCGTCCTTGCGCTTAGGTGCAGAGACGGGGCTCTATTTTCTATGAGTGGTTCTCTATGCATGTTAAGAAATGCAGTTTGAAGTTCACGTTTGGTCCAAGCGCCAGATACTCCTGGTGGCTCGGTGATTTGAACTTTCGCCCCGTGCTTTTCCTGCCGGCCTGCAAGGAGGGTTAGAGCTGACCATCTTCTTCATTGCAGCCGTGTCGGATCCCAGCAGCACTGTTCACAGACCTCAGCCGCTTCCTCCGAGCACCGTCCACCAAAGCACTATTCCTTCAAACCCAGACAGCAGCTCTGCCTACTGCCTCCCCAGCACCAGGCATGGATTTTCCAGCTATACAGACAGCTTTGTGCCTCCATCTGGGCCCTCCAACCCCATGAACCCCGCCATTGGCAATGGCCTTTCACCTCAGGTCAGTCCCGTGTTTCCAGACAGACGATTTGCTGTATCCCAGAACCAAACAGTCAATTCCCTGAGGCGGTCATATAATGAATTGCCAAATTTAAACCATAATGTATTCTTTATACAAGCCACATGATTTCAGTTTTCTGGTTTCCTTTCTCTCCACCCTTCCTACGGGCTGTATCAAAAGTTGTAGCTTGGGCTTGCAATCCAAGTGATTTTTAATGTAATCAGGGAGATCTGTGTTTATACCTCGTTGTCAAGGCATTGGTCAGCTCCACCCCTAGTTCTGAGTTTTGGGTCAGAAGCTCACACACATTTTTTGTTTCTTTGTTTTTGTTTTTGTTTTTTTTAAAAGTACTTGATCAGCTGATCTGGTTGTGAACAAAAGCACCTAATAGGAAAACACCAAAGCTTTATTAAAACAACTGGAGAGGAAGCAAGCAAGTTGTGAGAGACCAGCTGATGACTCCAGAACTCTGGGATAAATGAGTTATAAATGCACAAATTAGGAGAATTACTGCTACTTTGGGAATATATAGATATTTGAATGTTGTAATTGTTTTTCTAATTTGCATTGAACTATGAGCCTTTCTTGAGAGATCATATTAATAAATTGCCTTGATAATTGCATGTCAGAGGGTTGGATAAATTTCCTCCATGTGGCATCTGTCTGAGGTTGACATTATTAGCAGTTGTTTAAATACAGATCACTTGATGTTATTAGAGAGCTCTTGGCCCAGGTGGCAAGGATAGTTCCCCACTAAATTTGGAGAAATGTCACAAAGGGGTTGCAATCTATAATTGCAATCGAGAATCTCTTCAGGGCCGAGAGTGAGAGTTTTAACAGCTTTATCTTTCCTTAACCCCCTTTTTTCTCTTGGTGGCTAGAAAAACAGAGAGAAGCTCAGAATGACAGAAATGAAAAGTGAAAAGACAATTATACTCAATTACACACTAATCACCGACTATCACCGCCGCCTAAGCACCAAGAGGGCATTCTAATAGGCAGAAAATGAGATTTTAATGGCACAAAGGGTGGCCAGAATAACGGCTCCTATATCTTTGCCTTCTTCGTTTTCTTCCACTTGTGGTTTGCGTCTTGGGAGTGCAGTTCCTGGGCTCTGCACAACGGTGATAACTCTGCGCAGCTGAAAAGTTCAAAGCCGTCGGAGTTGAAAAGAATGAATAGCAAAGGCAATGAAATAAACATTTCTGCCTAAAGGCAAAAGTTCATAAATCCTTTTTTGTAACAGTCAATGTAATTAAGTTTCATAGATTCCTATAGCACATCCTGGGATAAGAAATGAGAGGTGGCTTTAAACCTCGGCCGAAAAGTAACAACATGAAAACAATGAACGTGTCTTCCTACAGGACTTTAATAAATTTAATTTCCAAGTGCTGGCATTTGTGAGTGTGATTTTGCATGAAAATCATGGACTTGTATTAGTAGATTCCTCTTCAAAATGCCCAGATTTATAGCATATAAGCCTCTTCCACAGTTTAGAAGGAACGTCAGAAGTAGTTATCTCGGCGGTTTTTAACATCAGTCGTCTGGGGCCATAGCAGAGCTTTTTTGAACACGATTGGGTTGAAAGTTTTCATAAAAAGTAAACTAACCCTATACTGCTTCTGCAAGGTGAGACCCAGGACTCCCTTGGCATTTCTTTTGTGTCTAATCAGAACAGAAATAATGACACGGATCTGTATTCTCGAAGTGAAAGTCCTAGTTTCTTGTAAGCGTATGAGCTTGTATGTTATAATAAGTGTATTCTATTTGATTCTATTCTGTTCTATTAGTATTACATAGTTGGAGTCACTGGCACTTAATCTTGAAACTGTTCATCTTTGATTTTATGATTCCAGAGTTGGCAGTAGGGTGGGAATCATTCCAGTATCAAGCAATGGAAAATCCCACAGGCAGCTCTTCCTGTATTTCTTTATTATGCTCTTACGTATCAGGTTAATTCCCTACTTATTACTCTGTACATATCCCGGATATTTTGCATTTCTACCATACATTTCCTCCTGAAACCACCACTAGGAATCCATATTGTCTTAGTACTTGTAGCATCCTCAGCGAGTTAGAAAAGGGACAGATAATATAATGAAGTTCCTCCTTATTTCTTTAGGCAGAGTCGGGGACAAAAGATGATGAGTACACCAGAATCACGCCAAACATGTTGAAAAAACAACAGAGTAGGAGAACTGGAAATTGGAACTTTCTAGAGCCTTGGGGTTTATCACTTCTCAGGACTGCCTCTATGTAAGCAAGGGGGGACCAACCCTACTTTTGGTTGTCTGGCTTTATTAGGAATATCCGAAAGAAAATTCGAAGATAAGAGCCCACTTCGAACAGCCTGGTTTACCTGTTAACTAAAGAAGAGAGAAAGAAAGCCCCTTCAGTCTTACTGCTGATTATATGGAAGGGCTTATTAATAGATTGGATCATACGATATTCCAAATGGAACTGATCTTACCATTTCTCCTCTTCCTTTCCTCCTCCACTTCCTCTGCTTCTCTCTGGACATCTAATATGCAGATGAGTCAACCAAGGCTCAGAGAGCTTGAGGCCTGCTGCAGACCACCAGGTGCTAGAGAGAGAATTGGGGCTGGAACCTGGGACCCTTGGCTCATAGGCTAGGATCGCCCCCATGAGAGCACGTGGTTGGGCAGAGAGGGAACAGGTTTTCTGAAAACTAGAGGGAGGGGGCTTTCATCACATCTTAAAATCATCGAGTAGAGATGAGTTTTCAAAACTTTTGGGTTCAGGTTAAGTGACACTCTTTTTGCTCATATGCTGTTTACATGCTTTTTGGCTTTACACACTTTTCCTATCAATCTTTTAACTTCCCACAATAATAAAGGTTATTATTAATAATAATATAATAACTGCATGGTTATTATAGAAAATAGAAAAAAAATTTTTTTTAAGTGTCTTCAGAGTAAAAAAAAGAAATTCCCCTGGGCAACCTCTGTTAATATTTTTACATATTGCCTTCCAGCTCTTTTGGGTCTTACACCTTCTAAAAAAATATAATTGAGATAATAGTGGATATACCTTTCCACGTTGCTTTCTATCTTTACATTTCAGCATTGGCCTTTCCCCACCAACTAACTTACTTGGAATTGGATCTAAAGGCTTTTGAGTTGTTTCAGTCAATTCATTGTAGATCTTTTCAGTGGAGGCTCTTTGACATGTTCAAAATAATGTGTGCATTGCATTCGACTTTCTTCCTAGTGGGGCTGGCCATTCAGACTTGGATCTCATGAGAATTGCTTCTCTGTGTGTGTGTGTCTTTTAGTTGGTAATCTTCTGGAGTCTCTGACATATGTGCTCCCTCAAGCCAAGATTCCTCTAAAGCTTGGAATCAGAGCCATCAGCCCAAGGGTATGTCTTTTAAATGCCCTCAGTGCTTTTCTCAGGGAGGGTCTCAGCTTCATGAGAGACAGGGGTGAAACAGTGATGTAGGAGATCACACCTGTCTGGCTGGTCAGATTTGAGCAGCAATAGACTGACATGTATTTTGACAAAAGATCAGAATATTGACAAAAACTTTTAGAAACTTCGGGCATATCCTTCCTCAAGTTTATCTTGTTCTGAGGGAATCAGTAACTATATCTGAAGAATATGGCCATTTTTCTTGTGGAAAAACAGACTACTGCCGCACAATCATCTAAATGGCAGGGTGAACTGCCGGCAGACTTAAGAGCCCCAAATCTCTCTCTTCCAGTTGTTACTAATTCTCGTATAAACACAAATGACACATTTTGCTTGCTGAAGAAGCGTAATGGTCTAGTGAGTCTTCCATAGGCTCCGGCACTGATATTCGCCCTGATTTTCCTGCAGGCCTCGTCCAAAGGCTTCACCAAATATAGGGGTTGGCTCCACATTCTCCCAGAGACTGGATCTTTTGGGGTAATCTGACACAAGAGTCCCAGGGATGGGTGACAGAGGGGATAGGCTATGACCTCAACCTTTTCTGTTGTCTCTGAATTGCATTTCGTCTGAACCACATAACTCTTGTAGGAGATGGGCCTTCTCATACTGAATGACAAACAGATTCTGAGAAGACCATTCAAGTCACTCTAGTGAGGGCTTTCCCCTGCAGTAGCAGCCTTCTTTGGAAAGGTTGTGTTCTCTTGGTGTGGGGACCATAGAGAAAGAACACAGGGAAATAGAGACCATGTATTTTCCCTCCAGACCCAGATGGCACGTTCCCAGCACCTTGCTGCACATGGAGGAGAGAAGAAGGAATGCTGACTTGAAATACAGAGCGCCAGGGAAATCCTACCATATGCTTAAGACATGAGACTAATTAACATTTGGCCCATGTTCTTCCAATTAACTTTGCTCTGCAAGAAATACTACCCTATTGCTCCCCCACGTCCAGAACACACAGAACCAAACCCCAAAAACAAGACCAATTAATTTAACAAACTTTTATCATTTCATGCTCCACCCCCATCCCATGGCTATAATCGCCACAGTTTTTGGTGACAGCTTCTAATGATTTCTTGAGTGAAATACAGTATCAGTGGGGTTGCATGGTTTCTAGAAAGCTTTTTTTTTTTTTTTACTGTTATGTTGTATACAAAAATGGGCCAACTTGGCTGCATTTAGGGTCCATCAACCATTGCAAATGATTCTTCAAATGTTTTGGGTTTGGTAAAACCTAAAACACATTTTGCCAAGCACTTTTCCTCCTTAATTTTTCAAACTGTGTATTTTAGGGAAAATTTGATCCATATGGTTTTGATTCATTTACTCTTATATCATTGACATTTTTTTTCTAACGGAGCCATTTGATATCCAAGAAGTTTTCTGAGCTTTTCTTACGTTCATTTTAAGCATTTTCTTCCTTAAAAAGAGGAAGTCATCTTTGCAACCTCAGAGGCTGTAAATTTTGAGTACTCTCTCAATTCGGCAATACTTAAAAATACATTTGGTATAAATCTGGATTATTATGAACACATTTTATGTTTAGAGCAGATGGGCAGATTTTCGTT